GGAAAAACAGCAATGAAGTTGTGAAGTAAGTCTGACCACATTCAATAGACTCCTGTTAACTGGGATTGAGACCTAGTTAACCAACAGTATGACAATACTTAGGGACTCCTGGGTCCAGGGACAAGGACATGGCCTCAGAGGACTAGAATGGATTGTGAAGCATACAGCTGATATAAAGAGAGGGGGTATACACAAGAACATCCATACTTGCAGGTAGTACCCATTTGACCTGGCATCAATGGCTGGAAGATCAGAACACAACTAGAGGAAGGTAGAAGAGGAAAAATTTAAAAAAAAGGTGTAACCCATTATAAGTGGATGAACTTGACCTATGCTTGTGGATGCATTATGACAAAGGAATGGACAAATCTTTACAGTGAGGGTCATTCCCTCCCCCTTGGTACACAGGGTCAACAGGGAGGAGGAACTTAGACATTGGTTACCCAAAGTGAGGGGACTACAAAAGCAAGAAGTGACTGGCTTACAAGCTTTCAATAGGGAACCTAGCTCCAGGGGATACAGGGTAAGATAGAACCTCCACTGAATTGTTTCCACCCTGTCTGTATGGGATTGAGAAAACGTAAGGGGGAAAGGACTCCTGTGGTTCAACAGGGAATGACTGCTATCAGGTCTGACAGTGAGTGTTGGAAATGTAAATGTAAATGTTTGGTAACAAAAGCAGAAGAGTGGCTGATTTTGCAGTCCAGGAGTGGAGATCCCTGGAACCATCAAGGGAGAAAAGCGAAGTGGGAGACCGTGTTTGGAGAGGCAGTGACAGTAGGGATGGAGGCAGAGGCAATGATGGGGACAGAAGGAATGGTGGGGGAATCTGAACTCAGGGAGGGTGAGGGGTTGTTTGCTGGAGGCCAGGGGTCAGGAGTTTGAGGTGTACCCGTTGGGTGTTTGATGATGCATGCAGGGGATTGTGATCATTGCAATGAAACAATGTATGATAGGATGAATATAAAGATAATGTTCACTCATGTAAACAAACGCATAATTCACAGTAAAAACAAATAAATAACTAAAAAATAAAATGTCAGAGGAGACTCTAACTTGCTCTTATACACGAAGAAGCTAAAGAGACTGGAAGAAATGAGAAAGTGAAATTGCTGAACAGCAAATTTCAAAGGGCAGCTTGAGAAGACAGTCAAGTAGTATAATGAAATGTGCAAAAACTTTTCACTAACAACAACAAAAAAAAGGTAAGAACACGTTCAGTATTTCTCAATCTTAAATAAAGAAAAATATCAAATCTTGTGTTGCCGTATTGAAGGATTTCTGGTGTGGCACTGTAGGATAAACACTGGACTGCTAACTACAAGGTTGGCAGTTCAAGCCTACCAGCCACTCTTTGGAAACCCTGTACAGGGTTGCAATGAGTTGAACTTGACTCAAGAGAACTTACCAACAACATTGGCAAAATATTAAATGGTAAATGCACAAAAAAGATGGAAAGAATACACAGTAACTGTACCAAACCGAACTAATGGATGTTCAACCACTTTTAGAGGTACCAAATGCCCTTGAACTGATGGTACTAAAGGAAGAAGTTCATGCTACACTCAAGGCATTGGGGATAAACAAGGCTCCAGGAATTGATGGAATACAAATTGAAATGTTTCAACCAACTGACACAGTACTGGAGAACTATTCTATGCCAAGAAATTTGGAAAACAAGTATCGGACCAACCAATTGGAAGAGATACATATCTGTGACCATTCCAAAGAAATGTGACCGAATGAAATGTGGAGCTCATCAAACAATATAGTAATATCACATGAAAGAAAAATTTAATAAAATTTATCTTTAAATGGTTGCAGCAGCACATTAACAGCCAGAAATTCAACCTGAAATCAGAAGTGAATGTGAAACTATGGATATCATTGCTGCTGTCAGATGAATCTTGGCAAAAAGAAGAAAATACCAGAAATATGTTTATCTGTGCTTTACTGATGATCTACTCTGTGGATCATAACAAAGTATGAATGACATTTTAAATAATGGGATTTCCAGAACACTTCACTGTACTCATGAGGAACCTGTTCAAAGACCAAGTGGCAATTGTCCACCAGACTGGGAAACTGCATGGTTTAAAAACAGGAAACGTGCGTGACAGTGTTTTAAACTTTTAAACCATACATATTCAATCTGTATATTGAGCAAACAATTGAATAAGTTGAATATATGACAAAGAACTTCTCAGCAGGACAGGAGGAAGACACATTGACAACCTGT